TCTTTGCTGGTGTACATCTTCTTCTTCTTCTTTCCCTCTCTCCTCCCAAGTTCATTCATTTCCTTATGCAATTGGACGACATTGTACTTTCTGATGAATGTGTACTTCGAAATTGGAGGGAGAGGATCATAACATAAGTCCTATTTTCATGGTTTTTTGGAGGGGTTAGGGGGCTAGGAGGGGGTGGAATAAGGCTGACTTCATGGGGTTTCAAGAGGTGGGGGATGTGTTTTTCGAAGTGGACGCAGGACAAGGCTGTGTTCGTGGCTTCTGTTCTGCGGTTCTGTGTGCAGGTCACAATGACGAGCCACATGTGTAGTTCCAATTGATCAAGCGACATGGCCATGAAGGTGGGGTCTGCGAAGGAGGGGTTGAGGCAGGTGCTGATCCATGTGGCAAGGGCGACTGATGGCGGCAGCAGTCTTCCAGATAGTGTGTCCACTCTGGTCGCTGCATCAACAGGTGTGGCGAATGTGGGTGGGGATAGAGGAAAGGTGATTGCAGCATCCACCTTGCAGTATTATGGGAAAAAAAGGAAAAAAGATTTCCGAACAGGATGACCGCACAGGACAGTGCGCGGGCCTGTGCGGTCCTGTACGGTACGGGTACGGGCCTGTATGGAGGTTGTGGAGGTCCCGGACCGGACGCCGTATGGTGCACTGGACAGTGCGGCGCGCTGTGCGGTTTCAAGTATGCTGAAAATCTAGGCTTCCAAGACACCCCGCCACACGGAACCGTATCACTGGCCAGCATCAAATGACTTCAGGATCATATCCAACTAATTCCAAATAATGCAATAATGTTGCTTCTTCATAAAAAAACTGAAGTGATTGCAGCATCCACCTTGCAGTATTCTGAAAAAAAGAAAAGGAAAAAGATTCCAGAGAGGAGATGGCCGCACCAGACAGTGCGCGGTCCCGTGCGGTCCTGTATGGTACGGGTACGGGCCTGTACAGAGGTTGTGGAGGTCCCGTACCGGATGCCGTACGGTGCACTGGACAGTGTGGCACGCTGTGCAGTTGCAAGTATGCTGAAAATCTACGCTTCCAAGACACCCCGCCACAGTAACCGAACCACTGGCCAATCATCACAATGACATCAGGGTCATATCCAACTAATTCCAAATAATTCAATAATGTTGCTTGTTCATAAAAAAACTGAAGTGAGTTGCTAGCAAAGATTTCTTTGCCTCCGTTCTCTGCTCCCGCTGCCTGCCCGCTCCCCCTTCCTCCCCGTTCCCTCCGCCCTGTGGCCCCTCAACCTCCCCCTCCTACTACCTCTCAGAGGGGTAAAAAAAATTGAAACCATACCTCAACATGAAAAAAGATTAAGATGAACCCTGACCCTAATCCAGAACCGACATGGAACAGATAGAAAGGATAACTCCTTGAAAACCCAGGCTAGGACAGTCAGCAAACTTGGCAGTCAGATAGGCCTATGAGTAGCCAATCTCTGCCCTAGATAGCTCCCCTCCCCCCCACCCCTGATCCCCCTTTTTTTTTCTGCATGCGGCCTTGTTAGGACCTGAGGTCCCAAAACACCTTGACTTGAGGTCTCCTAATTCCCTGATTCCTGGTTTGGACAGCTGGCAAGCAATCAGCAAGCCCATGGCAGGCATTTGTTGACTCTGGTAGGCCCCGATCACCCTAACAAGAAGGGTCTGTAGGCTTCCTCTCTGGCCCTTCTTACCCCTCCCTGCACCCCTCCAAGAATCCTAATTTGCATTCAAAGTTCTACACCCCTGGGCTTAAGGCCTCCTTTGGAGACCAATGAAGACAGCCATTCATTCCTGAAGCTAGAGACCGCTCAATGACTCAGTGGCAGTTTCTGAGTCCTGAAAGCCAACTTAAAAAGCATTGCAATTCCCCGTAAAATTAATACAAGATAGAGGGCCGGCGGCCTAGCTCAGTTCGTTGAGCACAAGAGTGGCATTCAGAAGATCGTGGGTTCGATTCCCACCGTCGCCCATTCAATTCCCCACAGCCCCTTGAGGCATGCTCTGGATTCACCAGCTGAGAAAGACAGCCCGCCCCCCCTGGTTGGTCTTGGCAGGGGACCCTTTGACCCGGCCAACCCTAGCTAGGGGTTAGGAATG